GGGAAGCATGTATAATGTAAACAGAATTGGTCCTAGCTTCAGAGGTAATCAGAGGTATGCAGCTCCAGGCTTCGATGCCCGGTGTCCTGCAGGTTTTAGATGTGTCCTTGATCCAACACAGCTGATTTAAATGGCTAAATTACCTCCTCAACATGCCTTGAAGATCTTCAGAAGCCTGGTAATGAACTAATCATGTGATTCAGGTGCGTTGACCCAGGGCGATACTAAAACCTGCAGGACACCGGCCCTTGAGACCTGGATTTGTCTACACCTGATCTAAATGATATTTCTAATTCTAAATTTAGCCATAAATCTTAAAATTTTGTCAGGGCCTGAGTGACAAAACGCTTCTCCCACTGAAATGAAACGTCTAAATGAACAGAATCAACTTTCAGGGGTTAAATGTGACACTTAATTAATTTCTGACTTCCCAGTGAAGTCCAGAAATGTCTGTATACAAACATTTTTGACAAATTTTGAAAATATTGATCTTATAAATCTGTTAAGCACTCTACATAATATTTTTTTATGTGGTTTATCTATCTACAGTGCATTACTAACGATACGATTAACAATTAACAATGAAAAATGTGCATCATAACCATCATTTGAATATCTTTCACCATTTTGAATGTGGGAATCTGTGAACTTATGACATTAACTAAAGATAAACAATTAGCTGACTATAAATAGCAGAGAGGGTGTGTACTGGGTGCCATCTGAGCTGATCCTTTTTTCTTGATAAGACAAAAAAAAAAACAAAGAAAGAAAAGAAAAGAGAACTTCTTGCTGAGAAATGAGGGTGCATAAATAATTCAATGAAAATATCTTGCTCTGCTTCCAGCGCATACAGTAGTATGCATCCAAAAAAGGTCATATTTATTCATATTAATAACTAAAGAATCCTTTGGAAGGAGTCCACAGAGTCTGGCGAATGAAACTGGAGTGTTGTGGACCCACAGATCCGAAGGCTCTGTCCCATCCTAGCCTTCAACCATGTACAAGGAACAGTAATACATTTTGAGCCTGCAAACAAACACTGCAAGCAGAAGTGTGTTTAACAAAAGTCTGAAGCTTTTCCATTTAGTCCTCCGTGTGTAAGTATGAGAGTTTATCTGTTTTATCTTTGGCACCAATCACCTGATTTAAACTATCTTAAAGAATACTACGTAAATCGTACATGACAAGGTGTAAACAAAATATCAGTCTCCTATCTGTATAACTGTGCTTTCTGCAGTTCTCCACATCTGATGTCAACGATCGTGACTTCAAGCATCCATCATTTTATGTTAACTCTGGCTGCACTTGCAAGAGTCCATATTTATAGAACAGTGATACCAATTTTTTACTCTAAACATTTTGAAGGACCTAGGTCAAGTGGTTTTTTAGATAATGGAATTTGAAACTATCCTTCCAACAAAATAAAGAACAGCGGTAGTAAGACGTGAATCTTTCCACTTGAGTTTCTTTAGCTGAGTCTGAGCTGGTCCGGGGGGAGGCAGTTGATGAACCGGCAAGAATTGACCCGCAAATATCTTGAAATCTTTTCTAGCACAGATAAACATTTGGTCCCTGTCCTATATTTGGATGGCAGCACATCTGTCTCACCTTTTTCTCTGTCCATTCTCTCTCCACAGGGACTGTGTAGTGAGCCCTGTGGTCCGTCTCGGTGCAGAGGACGCACACGCACATCTGATCCTTCTTACAGAACAGCTCCAGGAGCCTCTCGTGCTTCGGACACATCCTGTCCTCCATGTTGGCAACGGGCTCCATCAGCTTGTGCTTAGTGAAGCGGGCTGAGTGACATTTCAGATGCTCCTCGCAGTATGAAGTCAGACACACCAGGCAGGATTTGACCGCCTTCGGCCTACCTTCCCCAAGGCAAACGTCGCACAGGACTTCCTCCCAAGATTGAGATGGGAGCGAAGAGAAAGGAGGAGATGGTAAGGTCTGAGGAAGTTGAGAAGCAGAGATTTGAGGTGAGGGTGGGGGTGATGTTTGAGGAAGTGGAGGTGGTGGCTCTTGTGCTGTGGCTTGGTGTACCAGTGGAGGAGAGGTCTTCG